CAGAATTGAGACTTCATCTTGGTGGATCTTTCCTGTGATGAGTATGTAATGCCCTTCTTGATCTCTTTTGATTGATTTTAGTTTGAAGTCTATTTTGCTGGATATCAGGATGGCTACACCCGCTTGTTTCTTAAGACCGTTTGATTGGAAAGTCTTTTCCCAGCCTTTTATTTTTATGTAGTGTCTATCTTTGAATTTGAGATGTGTTTCTTGTATGCAGCAGAAAGATGGGTCCTGCTTTCGTATCCATTCTGTAAGCCTATGTCTTTTTATAGGTGAATTAAGTCCATTGATATTGAGGGAAATTAATGACCAGTGATTGTTCATTCCTGTTATTTTTTGGTGGTGATGTGTGGGTACTTCTATACGTTGGGGTTTACTGCTGTGGCTTTATCTGTTGCCTGTGTTTTCGAGGGTGTATCTGACTTCCTTAGATTGGAATTTTCCTTCTAGTGCTTTCTGTAGGGCTGGGTTTGTGGATAAGTATTGTTTAAATCTGGCTTTGTCATGGAATGTCTTGTTCACTCCATCTATGGTGATTGAAAGTTTTGCTGGGTATATTAGTCTAGGTTGACATCCATGGTCTCTTAGTGTCTGCATTACATCTGTCCAGGTTCTTCTGGCTTTCAAAGTCTCCATTGAGAAATCGGGTGTTATTCTGATGGGTTTGCCTTTATATGTCACTTGGCCTTTTTCCTTTGCTGCTCTTAATATTCTTTCTTTATTCTGTACGTTTAGTTGTTTAACTATTATGTGGCGAGGGGACTTTTTTTGGGGGTCTAGTCTGTTTGGTGTTCTATAAGCTTCTTGTATCTTCATAGGCATTTCCTTCTTTAAGTTGGGAAAGTTTTCTTCTATGATCTTGTTGAATATGTTTTCTGTGCCCTTGAGTTGGTATTCTTCTCCTTCTTCGACCCCTATTATTCTTAGGTTTGGTCTTTTCATGGTGTCCCAAATTTCTTGGACATTTTGGTTCATGGCTTTGTTGGCTTTAGTGTTTTCTTTGACTGATGAATGTATTTCTTCTACTGTATCTTCAACGCTAGAGATCCTCTCTTCCATCTCTTGCATTCTATTGATTATACTTGCATCTGAAGTTCCCAATCGTTTTCTCAGATTTTTTATTTCCAGCATTCCCTCTGTTTGTGTCTTCTTCATTTTTTCTATTTCCCTTTTCAGGTCTTGGACTGTTTCCTTCATTTGTTTCATTGATTTTTCTTGATTTTCTCTCAGTATTTTATTGTTTTCTTCCAGGACTTTATTGATTTCTTCTAATTTGTTTGCCCTTTCCTCTAGTTGTTTACAGCGTTCTTCACATTTTTTTGTCTTTTCCTCTACACAAGCCTCTAGCTTCTTCATGATGTCATTCATAAGGCTGTTTTCTTCTGCTTCTTCTAATTTCTGATGTTCAGGTCTAGGTGTTGGAGGAGGGCTAGGGCCTGGTGATGCTGTATTGCTATTCATTTTGTTGTATATGTTTCTGCTTTGACGTCTGCCCATCTCCTTGTGGTTCGTTCTTGGCCTTATCCGCACACTTGGTTCAGACAGACCAGTGTTCCAAAAGGGAAGTCCGGAGCAAGATGGGAGCTGGGGGCCGGCCTCTAAGTCTCAGGAAGAGGCTTGGGGCTCAGGGGATGGGCGTGGGGGCAGGGCATGGAGACTGCAGGGCCTGCCAGGGGTCTTGGAGAAGGGGATCCTTCCCGGTGGGGCTAGCAGGGAACCTGCCCGGTGGCCAGAACCTGGGGCCAAGTTGGGCAGGTCTTCCCTGGAGTGGCTGGTGCCCAGGGATGGGGTCCGGGGCAAGAAAGGGCACTCACCAGTTTTCCAAAAGGGAAGTCCGGAGCAAGATGGGAGCTGGGGGCCAGCCTCTAAGTCTCAGGAAGAGGCTTGGGGCTCAGGGGGATGGGCGTGGGGGCAGGGCGTGGAGACTGCAGGGCCTGCCAGGGGTCTTGGAGAAGGGGATCCTTCCCGGTGGGGCTAGCAGGGAACCTGCCCGGTGGCCAGAACCTGGGGCCAAGTTGGGCAGGTCTTCCCTGGAGTGGCTGGTGCCCAGGGATGGGGTCTGGGGCAAGGAAGGGTACTCACCCAATTTCATAATTTTTTACAGATGAGTATTTCATTGTGTATATGTACCACACATTTTTATTATTAATGCATCTGTTTCAACATTTAAGTTGTTTCCACTTTCTAGCTATTGTCAATAGAACAACAATGACAGTGGCTGAGCAAGTATCTGTGAAGTAGGATGTCAAGTCGTATGGGCACATGACCAAATAGTGGTATAGTTGGATCATACAGCAGATTTATTTTCAGTTTTCAATAATTCTATGTATTAATTTTGAGAGTGCCTATACCAGTTTCCATTTCCGCCAACAGTGAGTGAGGAGTCATCTTGCCCCAAAACCTCAGCAGCAGTTTTTCGTCAGTTCTTTTGTTAACCTTCGCCATTCCAGCTGGAGTGAGACGAAAATCCAGATATGTTGGTCCGTATTTTCCCTAATTGCTAAGGATGATGGACACTTTTCCAGGTTTCTCTGAGGCATTCTTAAGTTTCTCCTATCGTGACTTCTCTGTTTAGACCTGTAGCTTATTCTTAATTAGGTCGTTTCTTTCCTTGATTCTTTGTTTGGGAGTTCTTTGTATATTCTGGATATGAATGTAGACCTGGCAAAGTTTCTCTCCCACTCTGTGGGTTTCTTCTTCACTTGATTGTCTCCTTTGATGTACAATAGACTTTCATTTTATGGGTTTCCACTTGCCAATTGCTGGCATTAATTCATGGGCAAAAGGAATGCTATTCAGAAAGTCCTTCCCTATATTTATATTTTGTAGGCTTCTGCCTATTTTTTCTTCTAATCATTTTATTGTTTTAGGTTTCAAACTGAGGCCTTTGACCCACTTGGATCTATTTTTTGGCAGAGTGATAGTATAGATATGATTTCATTTATGTTGACATCCAGTTTTCCTGACATCATTTGTTGAAGATTTTGTCTTTTCTCTAGTGTGTATGTTTGTCTCTTTATCAAGTATCAGGTAGCTCTAAGTTTCAAGTGCCCATGTTTCAGGCTTCTGTTTTATTCCATTGGTCTATATCTTAGTTAGGGATTCTATTGCTGTAAAGAAAACCATGACCATGGCAGCTCTTATAAAGGAAAACATTTAATTGAGGGAGTAGCTTACAGTTCAGAGGTTAAGTCCATTTTCATCATGGCAGAGAGCATGCAGGCATGCAGACAGAGTTGATATTGGAGAAGGAGCTGAGAGTCCTACATCTTGCAGGCAACAGTCTGACTATCACACTGAAGGAAGCTTCAGCAAAAGAGTCCCCTAAGTCCACCTCCATAGTAACACACTTCCTTTGTCAAAGCCAGCACTATTTCAACAAAGCTATACTTCCCAGTAGTGCCACTCCCTCTGGGGGACATTTTCTTTCAAACCACCACAGTCAATGTATGTATTTTTGTGTCAGTAAGTTACTGATTTTATTACTATAGCTCTATAATCTGTCTTAAAGTTTGGAAAAACAAGGTCTCCAGTGTTCTTTTTTGCTCAGGTTTGCTTTTGTTATCTGTCGTCTTTTCTTGCTCCATAAAAATTTTGGGATTTTGTTTTCATTTCTGTGAAAAATATTATGTGTATTTTTGTTATATTCTATTGAGTGTGAAAATTTCTTCTGGTTAAATGATTATTTTCACAATATTAGTTCTACTGGTCCATGATATGGGATGTTTCTCCATTTCATAGTGTTTCTCAATCTTTTCCTTCAGTTTGAAAATTTCATCATAGAGGCCTTTCAGCTACTTTATTGCGTTTCTTCCTAAATATTTTATGGTCTTTGATGCTACTGCAAATGAAAATGTGTCCATGATCTTTTTTCAATGTGTTTGTTTTTAGTATATAGAAAAGCTACTGATTATTGTAAGTTGATTTTGTACCCTGCTACATGACTGCAATTTTTGATTGTTTCTAGAAATTTTCTGGTGGAATTTTTGGAATTCCTTATGTTTAATATAGTATCATCTGTAAATAGTAATATTTTTCATTTTTCTTTTCCTATTTGTATCCCTTTAATTTTACTCTCTTGCTTTATTGCTCTGACTATTGCTTCGAGCACCATGTTGAAAAGCTGTAGGAACAGGGACATCTCAATATTATTCCTTATTTTAGTGGAAATACTTTAAGTTTTTCTCTGTTTAGGATAATGTTGGCCATGGGTTCATCATAGTCATGTTTTTTATTTATTTATTTTTCAAAGCCAAACTGTATCCAGCTTTATTAAAGATACTTTCCATAAGCAATCATGGTTTTTCAGGCAGGACATGGGCAGACGGTCATTAACAGAATACAAGAACTTCCAAACTCCCTTCTTGTATAGACTATCAAAATCAGAAAGCCACTATACAACTCCATGAGTCTTCATTCGATGTTTTGAAAAGGGGGAGAGCTTAGAGTGAGGGCTGACAGTTCACATTGAGGATGTTGTTTAACAACTTTCACAAGCCGACCCTGACTTTCAGGAAACCAAACGAACACGGCAGAATTATAAATCTGAAGATCCACAATTTTCTATAAAGGAACCGCTGATCTTTTGAGGACACAATGATACCACTGCGAAGTCCAGATTGCCTGGTAGGCCGGCAAAACCAATTTTGGGGATCAGGTTCCAACAGGTCTCTGGTTTGAAGGGAATTAAGTCTATGCTGATGGTCCAGGGGAGGAAGACACAAAAATGAATTTAGAGTTTCCCACACAAGGCATTTTGTGCCATGGTGGCCACATATATCAACACCAGGACGTTTCTTCTGAGAGCCCAGAGGAGTCTTTCAAAATTAGCAGGGAAAGATGTTTTCCAACATCAACCATCATCAATCCAGCTTGAGAGACATTTTGTTAGTGACACATGTTCCTTCCCCCTTTAAACAATGAAGTGTTCTGTGTGCTAAAAACATAGCTTAAAAAAAAAAGTAAAACAAAATTCTGCATTTTTATAAAACTTGATAAAAATAGTATTTCAAACTGTACAGTCACCAGAAGTACACAGTTATCAAAAATGCACACATTTCACTTGGCATCTCCAGCACCTTCAGCTTTTTGTGCCTGGTCTGTTTTGGGGTCTCCGTTTTCTGCAGGATTATTCGCATCCTTCCCGGCATCAACCTTCCCCTTCCTCCCCTTGGGGACCTTCTCTCCCTTCTTTGCAGGTGTCTTTTTAGGCTTGGGCTCTGGCTTTGGAGCAGCAGGTTTAGCAGACAACCTTGCAGATCTTGTCTGTGGCTCGTCCTTCACCTTGGCTTTATCTCCTTTAGTATCCCCTTCAGCCTTTCTTTTGGGCATGACAGGGGCGAGGGACGTTGGCGCTGAACGCGGGGATGCAGCGGTGCGCGGGTTTGGTCTGGGGGGTCGTTCTCGCTGCTTCTTCATACTGCTCCATGGTTTTTATTTTAAGTTGATATATGTTCCCTCCGGTACTACTATGACTCTTATCATGAAAGTATGTTGAATTTGTCAAGGGCTTCTTCTGTAACTGTTGAGATGATTCTGTGAGTTTTGTCTTTAAGTTCATTTATACAACTTATTATAGTTTTTGAGATACATATGTTGAGTCACCCCTGCATTTGTTTTGGATAAATCTCCCTTGATTTTACTAGATAATCTTTCTGATAAGTGCTTGTACTCAGATTGCTAGTATTTTACTGAGGATTCTTGTGTTTTGTCTACAAGTTTATCAGTCAGTCTGTCGTTCTGACTCACTGTTGCTGCATTTTTGTGTAATAGAACAAGTTTGGGAGTGATCCTTCTGGATCTTTTTCTTGAAGAGTTTCAGAAAGTTTGGTTATAGGTCTTATTTAAAAATCTGTTAGAATTCTGCTATGGCCCTGGACTTGTTTTAGTTAGAATGATTTTTGTTATTGTTTCAACCTCCTTTGTTATGAGTCTGTTTTGGTTGGTAGTCTCTTCTTGGTTTAACTTTGGTAGTTTGAGTGAATTAAGAAATTAATTCATTGATTTTTAGATTCCCCAACTTAATAGAGTACAGGTTTTTAAATATTAAATTTTAATATTCTGTGTTGCTTTGGTTCCTGTTGTAATGTTTCCCTGTTCATTTCTTATTCTATTAATTTGGATCATCTCTTTTTTTCTTTCTTTCTTTTGGTTTGGTAAGCCATGGATCTTTCAGTATTGTTTTTCTTCTCAAATAACTAGCATTAGATTTGTTGATTCTTTTTATTTTTTAATTCTATTTCTATTTGTCTTTTTAATGATAAAGTTTCAGTTGATCACTTTATTATGGTGTCATGAAAGTTCTCTTTGCTTTTTGGTGTGCAAATAAATACTGTGTTTTCTGACTCAAAGTGGCATATATTCTGTGAAGACTGTACCCTCAGTGAAGAAAACATGGAACTCTATGGCTACTGGTTATTCATAACACTGTCAAAAATGGGAAAACTGAGTAATTAGTTTATATTCAATGAAAAACTGTTTCTGCTCAGTAAAATAATACTCATGCCTTTTAAGTATAGTTATTGTACTAAAATATGTGTTTTAACACATGTCAGAATCATTATCAGTTATTAGCTTTTTTATGTGCTTGTGAATGCATGTGTATATGTATGTCATATACGTATGTTCACATGTGTGTAGATGTGTGTCTTGTCATAGGAGTTTGGCCTGTTCATATGGATGCCCAATATTGACTTTGGATTCTTTTTCTCTGTTGTTCTCCACCATATATATTTATTCAGAGTCTCTTGCTGAACCAGGACCTTGAGGTTCCACTAGTCTAATGAGCTAACTTGTTCTAAGAATGCACAGAATCTGTTTCCCATAGTAGAACTGTAAGTGGCTACCATGCCTACCCAGCATTTTTATGAGTCTTGGGGTTCTTCATCTACCAAACCAACTCCCTAGTCTCTAGACACTAAGCTTTCTGTCAAATATAAATATGCTTCATTCCAATGATGTCTTCCCCAAATTCTTGTTTTAGAGGTCTCCAATTCTCTTTTTAACTATCAAATTATAAATACAGCCAGAAGTCTGTGTTCTTCTCTATCACAGTATTCTGACTTTACTACTAAATATTAGAAAACATGATGTTCATGGAATTTTTTACAGTGTGTAAAACTGAATGATCAAATATGTTAGCTTCACAGAACCCTTGTGAGAAATGTGATGAAACTATGGCCAGTGGGAAGCTTGCACATATTTTGTATCTGTATAAAATATATACATTATACACTCAATATTTCTTGCACAGAAGGGAGAAAAAGGGAAAAAGGAAGGAAGGAAGGGAGAAGGGAAATGGAAGATGGGGAGGTGGGCAGTAATTATTCTGCAGAAGGACTATTGTTAATGGAGACTGAGTTGCATCTTCAGTCTACTTCTGACTCACGTAGCATTTGATCTAGGGAGAGTTCGTTAGTCTTTGAAGCTTCAGTTTCTTCTTTAAGAGAAGAATAATACCAATTAGCTTGCTTAATTGTTAAAGTGTTCTAATATATTTTATATGTAGTGAGAAGAATAATGAATTCTAAACAATGTTTATTGTTAAAATCTCTTGAGGGTTTATAATTGAAAAGTGGAAAAAGGATCAAGTTTGGTAGTCATCAAGGTGAAAAATTACTAAAAGGTGGGATTGGTAAGGTTTAATCTCCATCCACTTTGGATTCAAAACAAGATCACAAAAATTTAATTTTAAAAAAATGTATTAAAGTTATTTACTTAAGTCATTAATACAATGCCTTCAAACAGATGACTCAAGTTGAAATATTTGTTATGATCTTAACAAATTACTCTTATTAAGTTCCTCGTGTATTAGATTTTAAATGGGGAAAATACTCATCTGATGCAAATTTAAATAATAATCCTTAAGCAATTAAATACTGAATTAGTAATTGCCAACAGATTTTTTTCTATGCCTCTACAGAAAGTTGTTTTAAGTTGTGAAAGAAACTAAAACTAGTGATAATGACTAGGAGGAATAATATAATTAAATATATATATATATATATATATATATATATATATATATATATACACATATGTGTGTGTGTGTGTGTGTGTGTGTGTGTGTGTGTGTGTGTGTGTGTACATACACACACACACACTCCCAATTTACCCAGGATTTGTACATGGGAAATGTAAAAAAATGTCTTTTCTATTAAAGTGTTAAATAAGATCAAACTCAATTTTTAAAAATAATTGTAAAATCACTATTAGGAAGGGAGGGAATTGGCTCAGTGGTTAGGAGCACTTGTTGCTCTTGAAGAGGCCAAAGGTTAAATTCCTAGCTCCTACAAGGCAGGCAGCTCACAACTGTGTAACTCTGTTCTCAGGGAATTTGACTCTCTCTTCTGATTTATATATGAACAGGCACAAACATGATGCATATATATATACACAAGTAAAACACACATACACATAAAAACAATAAAATAAATCTTTTACAAAAGCCATTTGGCACATAGTCAAACTTCTCCAGTGTTAGCATGTTTTGAAATTAAAATGTGTGTCAAAGATTACACTCATTGTAAAACAATGAATTCTGTCTACCAACTTTGTCACTTTAAACTAACCAATAATAAGAGTGTAAGACAAACTTCTGACCACTCAAAATGAGGCTAAGACCTTTTATAATTGGGTAGAAAGATCCAGTGGATTCCCCAATGGGTGTTCTTACCTGCTTGATTTGACATGACTGTACACACTTCTGCAAAAGTAAAGCCTTTTGTCTTGCCAAAATGCTTTGGATTTAGTAGACATTTTCTTGACATCCCATGCCCATTTCTAACACATATAGGAATAGGACAATGTGTGTACAGTAAAAGAAAAGAGTGAAAAGTTCACCATTTGTGGAACAAAATGGTTCTTAAAATTAAAAGTAGAAAAGACCAAATCCACAACTGTCCAACTAAAAAGCTATATTTTGGGGTGCACCTGAGACTGGCCAGCCAGCTGTTGCCCACTAAGTAATTTGAAGGAGAAGCCCCTGCTGGCCAGTTGAGTTCCTTTTTATAAGAGAGGTAGGTTGTTCACAGGGGCAAGAGAGTTGTCTATTACCCATTGTTAGAAAAATACAGTCAAAGAGATGGAATAAGGGTAAGGATACATCATGTGAATCAGGATCCAAGTTTAGTGTAGGTTGAAAAACATGTTTTTTACTTTATTTCACATCTAAGAAACAAGAGCTTACTCTTAACTACAAATAGAAATCTTAACTTGCAAGGGCTTAACACAGGACAAACAGGAACAGAGTCTCAACTGCAAACAGAAACTTAAGCTGTAAGGTATATTTTTCCTGTTTTGGTCTCACACTAGATTGTAGCAGAAGCCTTTTAAGAAGCTTACTTAGGGGGCTGGAGAGCTAGCTCAGAGGTTAAGAGCACTGACTGCTCTTCCAGAGGTCCTGAGTTCAATTCCCAGCAACTACATGGTGGCTCACAAACATCTGTAATGAGATCTGGCACCCTCCTCTGTATACATAATAAATAAAAAAATCTTAAAAAAAGAAGCTTACTTAGTTTTCTCCCCAAATTTTAATAGTCAAAGTTAATTGCCTATGGGATATTTATATATTAGATAATAATAAGAGGATATCCATATAAATAGTTATATTGACTATAAAAAATGGTATAGATAGAAGGAAAGAAAAGAAACCCTTTGGAAGTATGGTGTACATAGTTAACGTATTTATGAAACAAGTAGCATCTGGAAATAAAAGTTATTCATTGAATAGGTAAGTGTAGCTTACATTCTTAGATGCACATCCTAGATTTCATTTGCTAGCATGTCAGAGGCAATGGGTATGATGTCTGTGTTGTCTCCTGATGTGGGATTTCATTTGCTAGTGTGTCAGAGGCAATGGGTATGAACATCTGTGTCATTTCCTGATGTGGTTCTTGACCTGCTGGTTTAAAATTTAAGGTTATTCTGTTCAGTGAGTGTCTACACAGCTATATAAAAATAATTTGGGGTTGAATAAATTTTCCATTTAAAAAAAATGACTTAACCTCAAGTTCTGGAAGGTAACCAAGAGCAGTGCCAATCTCCTGCACTGTTTTTGGTAGTCTCTTAGATGACCACTGACCAGTAGCACTGGAAAGGAGGTTTCTCATGCCTGGCATTGGGATTTCTGACAAGCAAGTTCATGGCCCTTGTGTAGCACTAGCTGGTCTGGAACTCTATTCAGGTAATGCTATTTTCCCAACCACAGAGATCTGATCTGCCTGACTCTGCCTCCTAAGTGCTGGATTTAAAGCACGGCTGGTTTTATGTAAGTATTTTTAAGTAAGCTTACAAAATGTTGTTTCTGTAAGGAGATACTGCTGCTTAAGGTT